TATAACTTAAATATGTTGCCTTAGTAAAATAACCATGTTATGAAGCCTATAAGAATTATTTAAAATAATCATCTTAAGTAATTGTTTATTTGTATAACCATACAAAAGTGATGGCGTGGATGAAGGAATTCACTGGCTTGTTGATTGTGTCAAGAGAAACAATGATGTTCGTCCTCCTCGTAACCAGAACGACAGTTGTCTGTCCTAACAACACATTCCTGTTTTATTTTATAATATAGATAAATCTAATGAACAGTATTTTAATGTAAAGTTGTATACAATTACATTAGAAACAACATTTTTACCAATAAATTTTGTTTTCTAATCTGTATTATTTAATTCACTTATCTATGTCAGTTCCTACCTTTGATAACAGAAATATGTCAATAATATTTTTTTTTTAAATCTGTTTCCTATATCTTATTTATTTATTGTTTAATTAAAACCTTAATTGTTATTATTCATTGTATGATAATTATTTCAAATTAATAAACTATATTTTTCATTATACTTAGGCACTATTAAGTAATATTGAATTTTTATTGTATTTACATTTAGTACAATTAGTAAATTTTCCAATTACTTTGGTAATATAACTGATCTATATTGCTGCTATCAAAGTAGTACCTGAGATAAGAGATAATGCCAACACCTTTCCTCTTCTTCTGTTATGTTGGTGATAAAAAGTGTATAAATCTGGTAGTACAGCTGTAGGTTGGAAAATACATGAATTGTAATTTCTTTGTTAAATTTTTTGTTACCCGTTATTAGTGTATCATGTGGCCTTATTATGAATCTGAAGATTGGAGTGTTTTACCACCAGAATTGAATAGGAGGTGATAATTCTACTGCTTTTAATTCTTTATATAAGCATGATATTCAATCATAAGTCAATTATATATAATAATACATGTATTCATTAACTCAAAATGTTCATTCATAAGTATACATCATTGAATATATTAGGTTATTGTGTTATTAACAATATAATTTAAAAATATTTTTTCAAAAAATATACAATTATGTTTATATGTCCTTTGAAATAGTTATTTGAGTAAATTTATTTTGTAATAATTTCACTACGAATTGTTTAATTTAGTTTAATGAATATTTAGACGAATATTTAATAGTAATTGATTAAACAAATATTTCTACACTAGGCAGACTAACATACTGTATACGTATATTACGATTTCATTATTTTTAACAACAATTGTGCAATGACGCTCAGATTATATATTAACATTTCAACATAAGTTGCTAAATTGTTTTATTTTTAACAAAGAAATACGCATCCTAAAAATATTGTAATAACCGATTATCTTATCGGAACATAGAAGGAAATGGTTCATAATACTTCAATTTACGAAATAGTACGAATTTCGCGCTTTAGAAACCAACATTATTGTTATTCACTACGTTGAGCAAAACCGTAAATAAAAGACCGGCAATTATGTCTATAAACAACTGAAGTAACTTGAATTTTGAGAAAGAATAATCGGTACATCGGTTCATTAATGTTTCAATTATGAGACATATGCAATGTAAAAATGGTCACAATAACATTAACCAAAAAGTCACAGTATTATCAGGAACAACGTCAGTGACAATGGGTAGCCATTTTGATTTTTGGTGCGCGAATACCGCGGACATCGTAAAGACTGTTTGTCGTGTGATAGGCTAGACGACTGTGGACGTTTAACTATGTCCATGGTTTTTTCCGTAGTTGATTAACCCCTCATCGTGAATAAAAGTTTCGTACGGTACGTATTGTTAGCGGTATAAAGTTAAGGTGGAAGAAAATACTCGGAATGCAACGTATATACAAACCGATACAGGCCAATATACCAGGTGCAGGATAGACTATGCAAAAGTGAGTGAGGGCGCACAACTCGCGCCCTGGGAGGCGAGGCATTTCTCGCCGTATTTGTCATACCACTTGCGTGTAAAAGGTGGGCGACACGACGACAGTATATTTGACGCGCCTTCGTGCCATCTCTTACGTACGTCGTAAACGTCGTTCAATTTCCGGACTCGAGTTTCCTGAAAACGACGTCCTTGACTGGTATTGTTTGACAGCTAGAAAACTAACCCTTGGTTCGATGCCCTTCAGTACAAACGATCTTTTATATAACCGGTTTACATGTTTTACAATATGCTGCCAGCTTGTGCAAGCGTGCGACCGCGACGCGTTTTTATAACACGTGAATTTGTGGTCGAATGACATTCAAAAACTAGGTAATATCCATTGCATGCATTGCACTCTTCTGATCGACTACTTAGATTTCGTCCGCGAAACCGGTTATTTTGTATTCACTGCACGTTCTATAACGCGTTAAAAAAGTAACAGGATATTAAGTTTATGTTCTCTATTCAATAAACGAACTATAATTGTATCTGCATTTTGGTTTTTTATACAAAACACTGATATTCTTATTATAAGTGTAGAGTTATTGACAAACCAAGTTTACGCATAAATATATTTAATATACATATATTTAAGGATGCAATACTTCTCCATTAATATTATTTATAATTATGAGCTATGTGAAAAGG